ATTTTCCAAAGCACCTAAAGGCCAGACAAGGAATAATGGATGGAAACTGACCAAGGAGAAATTCAACCTAGAAATGTGGAGGAACTTTCTGGCAGTGAGAACAATCAACAATTGCCTTCAGAAGTTGTGGGGGCTTCATCACTTGAGACTTTCAAGAAGAAATTGGACTGCCATTTGTCATAAATGGTGTAGGGTCTCCGGCTTGAGCGGGGTGTTGGAATAGATGACCCATAAGGCCCCATCCAACTCTGTTAATCTGTTAAAACCAGCGGCAGGAGAGCAAGGAGAAGAAAGGATGTTTGCATCATGAAAAGGATGTGCTTAATCTACTAGTGTCAGACACCATGATATCATTATGTACTTGTATGCCATGTATCATCAATTGGATGTCATGATGGCTAGTTATTGGCTTTGCTGAGCTCCTAGTATTCTTGGGAATGATGCTGGAGAAATTTCCTGTTTCTATCTTTTGGAACACCTAAAGTACTTCTGGAGTAACAGAAAATTACAGAATAACGGAGTTGGAAAGGACCTTGGAGCTCTTCTAGTCAGTCCCCAACTTTTTGTGGCTTGGTGGCCTAGCTGAGGGGGGGAAAGGGGAACTGGGTCATGTGAGTGGTGGGTTGATGCATGCACGCTTACCCACAGCTCAACTTACACGAGTGGCAGGCCAACGTGCACTTGCCACTTGCGCAAGTTCAGTTGTGTGCATGCATGCTCTGGCCAGCCCCTTGCGCAGCCCAGTTCCAAATAGACCATGGCCGGGTAGTAGGGCACTGCCCAAGGGTTGGAGACCCCTGTTCTAGTCCAACACCCTGCTCAAGTACCTTCTAAAAGTCCACTTTCTAAACATGGGTGTTGATGATCAGCTATATGATCTATTATAAACCACACCAAAAAAAAATGTATTGCAACTTCATAGCACAAATCCAAATTGCGTTTATGCCCTGATTTTGGATGCAAATCTGAGTCATGGTTTGTATTACAACAGGGGTGTCAAACTCGATTTCATTGAGGGTCGCATCAGGGTTGTGTTTGATCTCAGGGGGGAAGGGTGGGTGTGGCCAGCTGGGCATATTTTGTGCC